AGAAAAATAAATAAATCCAATACTCTGCTGGTTGTTAGGTATTTAAAAAAAGGAACATCAGATTTCCCTCAGGTACTTTACACCTGAGTGAATCTACTACAGTCCTCCATCATGGTAATAACCCCACACTTTAAGAGGTTAGTACTCATGATATTATACATAGAAATGCATTTTAAGCATGAAAAATAAGTCCACTGTAGATCAAAAACTTGGGTTCCATGCCAATCACATCATGCTTGGTTTGAATAAATTGGCATAATCTATAGACTGATGAAAGATGAAGAAATGTGTTTTTGTTCACCTGTAAATACAGCTTGTTGTCCTTGATGATAGCATCCAGGAGTTCTTTTTGCAGCGGAGGCTCAGCGCACTTTTTTTTCCATTTGCCATCAGTCCTCCATTATTCTCTGCCCTGGTAACTCCTGTTTTCTGTACATAAGCACATATGCTGTGTCCTTGGGAAGCGATTAGTAATGTTTTGCACCGATTGGAGGGACGAGAATGTCACTCTGCTGTCGTTGAAAAGCAGCCAATCCCTTGCCTCCTGGCCACTGTTCGAAGGTGTGTCTCCTCGTTCAGGTGAAATCGAGAGAGCAGAGCAAGTGGGGAGGCTACACTCAGCCTGGCCGTTTCCCAAGTCCTCCTTTAGGGCAAAGTGATTGGCTGGATGCTGGGTTCCATCTGCTCCGTTAATGTTACGACCGTAGGAGTAGTAGTGGCCGCTCTCAGACGAAATGCCAGAATGCATCACCACTGAGCTGAGCACATAGGGCACGGACTGGACTGACATCTCTCCCCCTCTGTTTAAAAGCTCTTCTCCATCTATCCTCTCCTTCTCCTCTTCTTCCTCCTCTTTCTGAGATGGTTTCAGCTTCTTGGCCAGATTCTCGCTGCTCTCTGGGGAGTCCACTTGCAGAGGGGAGGAGGTAGAAGAGGAATATTGTGTATGCATCGAAGGAGAGTGCACAGGAAGTCTCATGAGGGGTGGGATGGTAACATTTTCCAGAATCTTCCTGCGGACATGGCATTTGGCATCATATGAGAATCGCAGCAGGGTGAGGATTAAGTATTCAGGTGCCGACACTAGTTTCATGGTCCTCTCGGCCCGCTGCAGGGAGCTGCACTTCTCACAGAAATACGCATTCTCTTCATCCAGGATCTCTGGAGCGAGGAAATAGTTCACCAGGTCAGGCACAGAGAGAGGGGGCCCATTTGTCACTGGCACAAATTGTACATTGCTAGTGGGGTTTTTAGCCGAACCTGGCTCTGGAGTTTCACTGCCACCATTGACAGAACCCTGACAGAGAACTTTAGGCTCCTCTGAGGGCCCTGCAGCTTGAGGGCTGTCCTGAGACGTGGCAGATGGACAGAAGGCCAGAGAGAGGTCTGTAAAACGTTCCTGTTTCTCAGAGATAATGTTACACTGCATACAGCGAATCCCTGTGATCAGATTCCCGCCAAACATCCTTTCTATCAAAGTCCTCCCATCATCCACAGGTTCAGCTTCTGCTGGAGATGAAGCTGATTCTTCAGTGTCCTCTGGAGAAGTCTGAGCTTCTGGGTCTTTGCTGCTTGTGTCCACAGGGGAGGCAACCTTTGGCTTAGCCGATTCCAGGACCTGAAGTGTTTTCTCCTCTTCGTGTAACCTTTATGTCAAAACAGAGAGACGCTTAACAAGAGAGAGGAAAACACAACTTTGCGTCGTTTTTAATTGGTGCACCTACAATGATTCACCAAATTGATTTGTTTCTAAATAAAAACCCCACCCAAATTCTTAAACTTGTTGCGTAGTTTCTAAAGAAAGTAGTACATCATTAAGCTCTAGTCATGCACACTCAAAACTCACAATGCTTTCTATTATTAATTGCTTCAGGTGACGCAAAAACAGTTTAGAATTGTGACATTTTTTTATTAATCTAGCAAAGGGAAACACTAAAGAAAAAGAAAACTTGTATTTCTAACAAACAATATGGCTTCTCACAATCCTATCATCATGTTTCATCCAGTCCACTGCATGAGAGGCCATACCTGTCTAGGATAAATCGGAGGTACTCAGAACAGTCCTGCTGGGAGCCTGCATTGAACCAGGGAGGCCGAGATGCTTCTAAGAAGTTTCTGGGTGCATATGCTGCCCTCTGGAGGAGACAGGCATCCAACACACACACACACACACACACGGCAATCATTTACTGTTTTTGAACGTCAATGAAATTCTGTAAAATATGTTGCATGGGACAACACTTACCTGAGTGTGAGCAAGGAAAGCAAAGAGCAGCTGGAGCTTTTTCATCAATGTGTGGGAACCATTCAGATGCAATGATAAAACATGCCGCCTGAAACTAAGGAGGGGGAAAAACAATTAACACTGTCCATGTTTATGCTAAATGTTTCAGTATACAAGTGACAAATGCTAATTGTGAATGTTTGTTATAACTCACTCTGTGGCCATGAAGAGGGTTTGATGATGCTGTTCATGTAGCAGGTGTTCCCCAAGTTAACCAGGCCAGTCTTGCCAGTCTCAGACTTCCCAACTTGCCTCAGGAGACCTGATGCAAATGAATTGGACTGGGAGGTCCAGGCACTTTGATTCAACACCAACTTGATTTTTTCCTCTCCTGGTTTTGGGAGATCCTGAGACAAAATTAGAATTATAAGAACCTGAACAGATGTTTACAACTAAAATCAAGAAGTTTATTTATGCAACATAAAACACAACCCTTTGGTCGGCTTCTCTTAAACAACCACACACACACACACGAGTGAACATTTAGGGTTTGAATTGACATTATACAATACCTTGATGGCCTCAATGATGTGGTCATAGAGGTCAGGGAAGCCGGAGTACTGGTACATCATGCAGTGTATTAGCTCAGTAAACTGCAGCAAGAAAGCTTTACTGGTGGGGAGACCATCTGTCCTCAAAGACTGGACCAGGTGCACCACATGTGGAACAACCTGAGACCGTGAGGGATAAAGATGAGAGGAAGATATTCAGGACACTGTGATGCTGGAAATGTTGAAATTAACTACAGAAATTAAAACACACAAATCTGCAGCAATGTCAGCCAGAGGGCAGCTGAACATCAGGAACCGCACAGTGTGTTTCTGAAACTATTCATGTATTCATAGATACTAATGAAATTGGCCAACTCAAGGGCCATTTCTCCACATTTAAGTGCTTCACACATCATTAGTGGGAGAGCGCTGCTAAGCCTGGGGTTCTGGGAAAAGAAGTCCGTGCAGCTTTGAAGTAATTTAAGCCAAAAGAAGAAAAATGAGAAAAACTAATAAAGTGGCCATATGAGAGGGAAATGGACTGTGAGAGCAGAGGACATCCCTTACCAAATGGAAGGCCTCGGGAGAATGCTGGAAACTGAGCAGCATATGGGAGAGCACGGTGAGCGCCCCCTGTCGCACGATGGGGTACCACAGACGACTGAATACCTGTGGGTTACATGAAATGATCTTTACTTCATGAATACATTTATGTAAACTAGGAAAATGCTTTAATTGTAAATGTAAGCCATTTTACCAGCCCTCAATAAATTACCCTAAAGAAAAATCACTGCATCTGTGATTATAACAGGAGCAAAAAATAGCTGGGAAAAAATACATACAGTACCATTTTTGTCTAGCTACATTCTGACACCTAGAATGAATCAAAATTTAGAATTCTCTCTACAAACCAGCTCGATCTTGAGCAGAGTGACGTCTATGAGGATGGTGAACTTCTGAACTGCAGCCAGTCCTTTCAGAAGAGCAATGACCCAGGTATCCACATGTTGGGCCAGAGGCCAAGACAGCCAATCAATCATCCTGGACAGAGAGAGAGAGGGTGATTATATGGGTTGAATTTGATGTGTAAAAACATGGAAAACAATATAGTAAATGGTTAATGGACTTCAGCTTGTATAGCGCTCTTTTAGTCTTCTGCCTACTAAAAGCGCTTTTACACCGCATATCTCACCCACCCATTTACACACTGAAGGCACACACACCTACACACTCTAGCGTATGTATTATATAAATATAGGTAAAATATAATAAAGATGATAGAGTGTACGTGTGTCATGAAACATTTATAATAAGCCTATGGAAATCGCCATTCGTTTTGGATGACTAAAGTGTGAAGTCACCTGCAGAGTGCTTTAGTCATGCTTGCGTCTTTCACATTCTGGTCCGTGGTGAGACTCTTGATGAGTACTGTGATCATCTGGACTGGGATGTGCTGGACCAGGCTTGCCAGAGCAATGGATGGATCAAAGGAGGGGTCTAAAAATTGTAGAACAAAGAAAAAGTATTACACAACTACAAAAAACCCATCTTTTGTTATTTCTTTAGTGGACTGTAAGTGGGATCAAAATATGCATAGCATTAAATGTTTTCAAATTCACAAAGTTTGTATTTCAGGGCTGTTTAGTTACATTATATTGTTGTGTTCTTCATTGTGGTTTTTAGCACGTCAAGGCTTCTGCAACATTTAATTTCAGCAGTTAGAAGTTTTTGTACCGTGTATATACTGTTTTTGTACTGTATATACCCCCTGTTTTTTATTTATTTATTTTTTATTTATCTTATCTATTCTGTTTAATGTGTATTTGAGCTTTCTTGTCTGTGCTGCTGTAACGCACGAATTTCCCCTCTGGGGATCAATAAAGTACTATCCTATCCTATCCTATCCTAGAAGTGCAAGTTCCCCTGAAAAAATGTCACTGAAACAGAAGCGAAATGACCTTTTAACCCAAACGACTCTGCTGTTCACATTGCTCACTGAGGCATGCTGTCCATGTGGCTATTCAATTGAAAATGCTGCGGACTGTTCATTTTATTCTGCTGTACAGCTCTGTTACTCACAGCACTGCCCTCAGCAGGCTGAGGACATTTCTTTAAATTACTATCAACAAATAACTTTTTATTTTTTGATATTATATTTTAGCTTTGATATTAAAAGGACTACACTGAACTCAACTGTATTTTCATCAGCAAATGCTTTTCAATGTCTGCATTTGAGGACAGTTTGTTCCTTGATTCCGTTGATTTAAAGGTAATTGCTCAAAGCAATGACAAGCGCGTTAAAAGGGGGCCACTATCACCAAAAATTCAAATGTTCCGCGTGCCAGTAATACAGAAGATTATTGGATGAACATTCAACCTATAAAAATAAGGAAGCTAAGCCAAGGGGTCAAAGACAACAACTGGCAGGGGCCTGAAAACTAAAATGACAGGATATAGCTGTTCCCAGATGCCTAATTAAGCACAAAAACCTGGGTATATATGCCAAGATATAAAGAGGGAGGGGTAGACATGGTTCCCTCCAGCCAAATCCATTTTATTGTTGGTATAAATCTTAGCCTTGAAAAAAATTCAAAATTTGTTCATAATTTTTGCTTCCTACGGACATCTCCAGGTGCCCTTTTTTAATGTAGGGTAACTACATAAAAAAAAAAAAAAAAAAAAAAAAACTTTCCATTTTGTAAAGAAGGAAGAATCAGTCTCACCTGTAGAAGAGATAATGGCAAAGACTTCCTGCAGTGAGGGAAGCAGTGTGGCTGGGTCAGCCTTCCAGATATTCTGCAGCAGTGTGCTGACCTTAGTCACCTGACCTACATACTCTCTCAGCTCCCGCTCCTGGCTGGCAAAGCAGTGGAAGTAACTGATTGTCCTCACAAGCTGCTGGCAGAACAAAACTCCTGACTTATCTCTCGGAATGCACTGCACAAAGTCTGACAGCAAAGTGTTTAGACGTGCACAGAGGGCAGGTTCTGGACGTTCACACACCATCCTTAAAACTTCCACCTGAATCATACTGAAGATCTCCAATACCGAGGGGCAGCTGATGAGCAGCCGCAGGCAGCAGTGAATGTAGTCTATAATGGCTGGGTCTTTGCGGTCCAGGTGGCCGTAGCCCTGCTGGAGAAGACTGAGGACAAAGTCTTTACTGAAGAAACGCTCAAATTCTGGGCGGTGGTAGCGTGCGTATGCCTCCAAAACCTGGAGGCCGATCTGCCTTTGAAAGGCATCCTCACCAAGCAGGATGAGGCGGGTGGTTAGAATGAACAGGGACTGACACTGCTCCTCAGTCACCTCTTTCTCTGCCGCTTCCACTACCTTCTTCACAATGGCTCTCTTCACTGGAACAGAGTGATCGGAGCTCACGAGGCCCTCCAAAATCTTGTCCATGTTGAGGGACTGTAGAGGGGAAATTGAAGAAAATGAAACCCAACACACTACAGTAGTTAAACAGTCATTTAAAAATAGATATTAATATATATAAAGCAGAAACTCTAAAAAATGTGATAGCCATTTGATGATCATTTTCCTTGAAATTTCCCTTTAAAAATCACATATTTTTGAGACATTGTCGACTGATCTTTTAGTGTTGTTGAGTCATGACTCATTTGTTTTTTGTTTTTTTAGGGAGCCTTTTATAAAATCTGGCCAGGGACAACAGATTTTGGCCTTTTGGCTAACTTTTGCAATGTCCCTGTAAAATAAAAATAAATAATAAATAACTCATAGTAGTCATCTATCATACTATGCACTGGCAGAGCTAGTATTTTGTACTGTTATCTATGAGTAATAGCTACTTATGCACATGGACCATCCATACCACTTTTTTTATCCTGGCTATGTATTGTGGGCTCATGTTTTTTGTATGGGTGGGATATGTATGTATATATGTGTTGTGTTGTGTGTTTGTTTGTATGCTGGCTGCTGAAACACCTAAATTTCCCTGCTGGGATGAACAAAGTATATCTTATCTTCCATACTGTAATCTGTTCTGCGTATGTTAAATTTACAAATTATCCCCGCACTCATGTTCACCTCATTTGGCTGTCTACTCGCCGTTATATTGTATAGTTTCTGCTTATAATATGTCTACACTCATGCACTTTAACCTATGTCAATACTGTCCATTTACTACTCTGTTTTTGCACATTTACATTCAATCTTCCATATTTCATCTTCCTATTTAAGACTAGTAATGCTTAGTGAAATCCTGGTTGTATATATTCACATTCTTATTTTAGATATCTTTTAGTACTTATTCACTTTGTAGTTAATATTACATTGTGTTTAGATTTACTAGCATTGTGTTTTTTTACTCATATTGTGTGTTTGGACAACCTGCTGCTGTAACGCCACAATTTCCTCGTTTGGGATCAATAAAGTAATTCTATTTTACTCTCTTATTTAGCTGTATAACTTGTCTTGACCAATTAAAAAAAAAAAAAAAGGAACATCACTGTACCATAAAAAAGAGATGTTTTTTACTGCACAGTTATCACACTGCAGAAAAATACTGACTAAATAACACGTTAACCCTAAACAACATGTTAACCTTAAACAACATGTTAACCCTTAAATAACACGTTAACCCTAAACAACACGTTAACCCTTAAATAACATGTTAACCTTAAATAAAATGTTAACCCTTAAATAACACGTTAACCCTAAACAACACGTTAACCCTTAAATAACATGTTAACCTTAAATAAAATGTTAACCCTTAAATAACACGTTAACCCTAAACAACATGTTAACCCTTAAATAACATGTTAACCTTAAATAACATGTTAACCTTAAACAACATGTTAACCCTTAAATAACATGTTAACCCTTAAATAACACGTTAACCCTAAACAACATGTTAACCCTTAAATAACATGTTAACCCTTAAATAACATGTTAACCCTTAAATAACATGTTAACATGTTAACCCTTAAATAACATGTTAACATGTTAACCCTTAAATAACATGTTAACCTTAAATAACATGTTAACATGTTAACCCTTAAATAACATGTTAACCTCAAATAACATGTTAACATGTTAACCCTTAAATAACATGTTAACCCTTAAATAACATGTTAACATGTTAACCTCAAATAACATGTAAACCCTTAAATAACATGTTAACCCTTAAATAACATATTAACCCTAAATAACATGTTAACCTTAAATAACATGTAAACCCTTAAATAACATATTAACCCTAAATAACATGTTAACCTTAAATAACATGTTAACCTTAAATAACATGTTAACCTTAAATAACATGTTAACCTTAAACAAATCAACACTGATATATTTTGTGGTGTCATTATAGATTATAGTCACAGGTTATTTCAATAAGATGCTTCTTTATTAATGTATAATTGGACAGATTCATCTGTATTTCACCTCTCTGCTTCAGACTCATGTTTATTAACAGCCCGCTGTTCCTGCTCCTCTGCTAACTAGCCGAAGCTAACTGTACCGGGTAACTTTAATTTGTTTCTCTTCCACTTTTTAAGAGTAAACTTCGACTAGAATGGTGGATAACACGAATCGTCGTGAGCCACTTGTCCTGCTCTGTAGAGACAGTTGTTTTTAAAATCATCGGACAACGAAAGTATAAACAAAGCGACCGAGCAGGCCTGACGTTAGCCGAGGGTCTGACTTAGCATAAACGCCGCTGTGTTGAGAGAAGCTACACGATGTGTACTTACCCCAATGAAGCATGTCAACAATGCCCTACTAAAATATCCTCAGTTTTTTTGTAGATGCTACTCCCGTTTGGACTGATTAAATCGTGTTATTTTGGTTCATTTGATCGCACAGAATCAGCTGATTAACAGTTCGCCGACGTCATTCCTATGGACAGAAATGTCGGTAGGACCCTTGTGTGAAGCTATTTTCGTCTAAACATTGCCTGTTACGGATGATTTTTTTTTTTTTTTTTTTTTTTTTAGATAGAATCTTTATTATCATTGTATACAAGGACACAACGAAACTTCATTAGCAGCAATCTTACACAGCAGCGTTTCCAAAAACAACAACAACAACAACAACAAAAATATATATTTGTGGTGATATGAGAGAGAAGTATGCAAAAAAGTGGCCAGAGCAATTAATTCTTTTTTTGTGATAAAATCAGTGGTTCCTTTTACACCAATGTTGTGTAAAGTTTTATGACACGATTTAAATGACGATGAAATCTTGAATTAAGCTATTTGGACACTTTGGGTCGTCCCAATGCAGTTAATATGCTGCATTCAAATACTCCTCGTCTATCTCGACTCTTGATGTATTGAGATTAACTTTTGCACAAAAAATTTATTTGATTCAACAATTTCCACTTTCACCTGACTAAGACCGTTTGGTCGTGTGAGCTTGTCTTCCCTTGCTTGCTGCTTTCATTTAATTGCTCAGCAGCAACGTGATGTGTATTTAACAACCCTTCTACCAAGGACTCTTAATTTGCTATTTTATACTTTGCTATAAGGCAAGGCAAGTTTATCTATAAAGCACCATTCATACATAGAGCAATTAAAAGTGCTCTACAGTGGTAAAAAAACAGAACAATAGGAACATTAGAAGCATTACATGAGATATGACAAAAGAGACATTGGGGAAAAATAGGAAAGAAATATGCACAACAGAACATGAACATCTTGGAACATTCACAGTCGAATAACAATTTTGCAGTAAACAAAAATTTCCATTACAAAAGAAATCTATTTGGGGAGAACCTTTTAACATTTTAGGGGTTTAAACATAACATTTACAGTCTCTGGATTTAGAACATTGGCTAAAGCAAAGATACATCCTTTGCAGGAATAAGTCATTATACTTGATCAACTTACTAAGAAGGTATGGTTGTTTAGGATTTTTTTTTAAATAAAAGTTGATAAAAAAAAATGTGGTTAAAACAAAACATACTTGGCAATGACTGTTTTTGAAATTGAAATAACTTCAGTCTTTTAACTCAATCAACATAGCATAACGTGCTGTTATGGATTTTTAATGCATGCTATTACATTATATACAGTGTGAATTTGATAAAATGAGCCTATTTCAAGTGTATATGCAGTAAATTATTTATTATTTATTTGTTATACATTAATATCAATTTTGTATTATTTATTTGTTTGTTTTCTAAGCGTGAATCAACCAAACCGCAATGCTCTGTGTTGTCCAAGCTGTCTATAAAGGAAAAAGCATGTGTTTGATGTATGGCTGGCCTGCGCGAGGATTTGTTATTGCTTCGTAGTCCCCTTCCTCTATTCAATTAAGTCTAAAGTCTATAAAAAGTCTAAAGTCAAAGTCATATTCCCCTACCTTTATTCAATAATGAACTGATTGATTATTCGGTGACTTCACATAAAGGGAAAAAAAAATAATTGCGTTCATTGAAACGGGTTAAATCAATGGATTTTATTTTTTTTGGCATGTATACAGTTTGAGGTAATTTCAAACAGTCCCTGAAGGCAGCATGACAAAGTCTCGCGATAGACCGGGTAACGTTAGCGCGGGTGCTCCAGAAAACACTGCTAGCGCGAACGTGCTTCTGTAACCGACCGGGTGCGTCTTTCATTATAAACAACCGGTTAGTTCTAATACACGGCGAGAAAGTTGTCGAAAAAAAACCCTTAAGGACTCTGACCCGGGAACACACACACACACCGGCACCGAATAACGGGACAATAACATCTGAATCGTTAATAATGTCTGAAAGCGAAACCTGCGCGGAGCAGCGGGAAGAGCCGACTGAACGTGAAGAAGCCGGAGGAGCGGAGGTAAGATGGGTAACAAAAAAAGGGTATTGTCTTCTCTTGGTGTCGCTTAGACCTTAAACAAACCTTCAAAGTCTTTATCTGTGACTCATTCAGCTCCTCACAACCAGTTTGTGTTATACGGACACGTTAAATGTTCACTTCGTCAATGTGAATGCTGGTTGAGCTAGTTAGCTGGTGGCTAGCTCACAACAACAGTCTCATCCTGTCTGGACTGAAGCTAACACACAGCAGCAACAAGGCCAGCCTGTTTCATAAGCGCTCATACTATTAGCTTAGTATGGGACAGCAACGCGGCTCAGCTGTCCCATCTGCGCCTTTGTTGTCAGTGGGACGGAGTTCTGGCTTTTTGTGGCCGAGAAGGGATGATGCAGCGGCTGTCTCCGTGCACCTTTACCCCCCCCCCCCTTCAATCAATCAGTCAAACTTTATTTATACAGCACCTTTCAGACAAATTAAATTGCAGTTCCAAGTGCAGAAAAGTTATTGACAAAAAGTAGTTTATAAAATCATTGAGAGACTAATGCACACCAATAAGAATTAAAAAAAATATATGTATAAAAATTAAATACAATAAAATACGACACATAAAAGCAACAAGATATTAAAATAAATACATAAGAGGAAAATATTTAAAATTGTACTAGGATAAAAAAAAAAAAACAACAACTTTGAATTGACTTGACTTAAATCTTTGGAAATAAAAGGTGATTTCTAGTGCAAGGCCCATTCATCAAACAAACTGTATTGATCCTACGCGGGGAGGTTGTCACATCAGCAGAAGGACAAGAAGAGAATAAGAGTCAAGTCTGCTTAGCATGAATAAATAACTTAATTACAGGAAAATTGGATAAGGACCACCGCTATACACAAAATTAAGAATGGGCCTACTTTAAGGCGAACTAAAATGTTTTATCATTAATAATTATGCAATTGCATTTGTTCAGATTTGATCATTTCGATATATGTGGGGTTGATTTTTTTTTAGGCCTCCTATGAAAATAGTTTTGATAGCAGAATGGAGTAAAATGTGTAAGTCTAGAGTAGGGGTCTCCAACATTTCTTCATCTGAGAGCTACTTTATAAAAAATGAAAGTGGCCAAGAGCTACTTGCATAAAATCACTTGCGTAGCACACATCAGCGGAATCAAGCTGCTGTTTGTACACATTTGAAATTGCAATAAGCCAATGCTTATCAATAATCTTAACTTCACATCAAGGTCCAAGAAAAAAACATGAACATTTTACACTTCTTATTGTGCCACATAGTAAGGTATGTTGCTGAAAATTCACATCAATGTCCAAGAAAACATTACTACTTTACACTTGTTTTTCTGGGCCAAATATATGAACAGTTGGAAGAGGTGCATTTATTGTTGTTAGAGTTTTTTTTTTTTTTTTTACACAGTCTGTAAACATACAGACGAGCTACTGAAAACCTGCCCGTGAGCTACCTGTTGGAGACCCCTGCTCTAGAGCTTAGTTAAATGTTCTGTACAGAGGAGCTTCGGTGATGTCAAATAAAAGTATAGAGTGTGTCCAGAGAGTATCCTAGAATAAGTCTAGTGTTTTCTTTTGTTTGTTTTTTGGGTTTGCTGTTATTGGAACACACAGAGAATAGCCCCAAAACATCAATGTTTTCTTTTGCTGCTCAGGAAAAGTCTGATTCTTCAGATGCTGGAAAAGAGTCGTCTTCAGATGCAGGTCCTGATGGACAAGATGCATCCTCCTCCTCACCCAAAGCTAAAGAAGCCAATCCTGGTTATGAGGAGAAAGTGGTAAGTACACCTTTTGTTTTGCTTATGTTACATGGCTTGCTTATACATTTTTTGATTAAGTTGTTAATCAAGACTGTCTCCCTGTTTATGCAGCAAACAGACCGGACCAACAGATTTGAGTACCTGCTGAAGCAAACAGAGTTGTTTGCTCACTTTATCCAACCATCTGCACAGAAGACCCCCACCTCACCCCTAAAGATGAAGCCTGGACGCCCTCGGATCAAGAATGACGAGAAACAAAACCTTTTGTCTGCTGGAGAGTGAGTACACTCCCACACAGATTTATTTCAATTTAGGATGTGTACTCCTCTTGTGATTTTGACTTATTGTTTCGTGTCTGTGTTTGGCAGCAACCGCCACCGTCGCACAGAGCAAGAGGAGGATGAAGAGCTTCTGAGTGAGAGCACAAAGACAACCAATGTGTGCACTCGCTTTGATGATTCTCCCTCCTGTAAGCAGACACCTGTTTTAATTCATGTTTAAGAGTTATTGCGTATATCTATGATTAGATGAACTAATGATTGGCTATTTTTTCCCTCTCATCTAGATGTCAAATCAGGGACAATGAGGGACTATCAGGTCCGTGGTCTAAATTGGCTCATCTCCTTGTATGAGAATGGCATCAACGGTATCCTTGCTGATGAGATGGTCAGTGTTTTGGTCAAAACTTTTGGCTCTACATTGAAAGATTTCTGACGTGTGCTTTGATTGTAATTTTTTTATTCTACATTTTTACACTGTTGCACCATCTAACACATGCTCTTCTGCTTCTCAGGGTTTGGGGAAGACTCTGCAAACCATTTCCCTGTTAGGATACATGAAGCACTACAGAAACATCCCCGGTCCCCACATGGTGCTGGTGCCCAAGTCAACCCTCTACAACTGGATGAATGAGTTCAAGAGATGGGTCCCTTCACTTCGAGCAGTCTGCCTGATCGGAGACAGAGAACAGAGGGTATGCTGAGTCAGGTTTTCCAATTGTTTTGGAAAACAATGTAATTGGAAATAGTCTAAGTGATTTTATATCTTCAGCCAAATCTAAGCAAAGAAGACCTAGTTTTGGATTTTGCTGCAGTTTTTCTGCAGAAATACTTTTTTAGATGTGATCCAAACTTTGCGGTTTGTAGACCTACAATCTGGCTAATGATTAGTATAGTACACTTTCAGCTGGGATAAAGGGTTTTGTATAACAGTTCAAAGATTTACTGACTTATTTAGTTTGGGATCATATCATTAAACCCGATTCAAAATATCTTGATTAGAAATGTTAATTTTGTACCCTGGTTTGTAGTGAACATTACTCAAAAGGTTCTT